AGTTTTAAGTTCTTAGATATATTTTACACCTGATGATGGTTTTATAAAAACTGAAACATGTTGTGTAAAGGATGTTCCAAAATGTAAATCGATCAATCGATATGGAACATCAATGATATTTTATTATCTTAATTATAAGAAATTTTAAATATTGTGATAAGACGGATTAAAATAAATAATTGTTATAATATTCACAATATGACGCAATTACACTATCTTATAAAATGTAATATTTAACTTTTATTTGGAGACTAAACAGGTCTCAAAAATATATAAAATATATAAATATATAAAAAGAACCACAAGCCATACATAAAATAAGATGATCAGCTTCAGGCTCGACTCAACTATGAACAGTGACTTGTGTTTAAAATCTCTCGCTCGTCCACTAAAGCAGCCTGACGACTCACCTCCATCTTGAATGGGTGGAAACTTTAACTCCACATTCCATACACCCTTTGTGGACAAGGCACTACAGTTACGTCGCCATTCAATCACACAAAACAGTGCGCAAAATAATTCAGAGAAGCATCTCGCTATTTTAAATACACCCAATTAATTTTTACCACGGCAATTCTTAAATGCATTACCGAAATTTTACTATTGTCTTACAGGGTAAGTACGTAGTTAATAACGCCATCGTTGATGAAACGAGGTTCCCACGTTTGCCAGGCATCAAAGGATGGCGCTTGGATGTTACATTAAAAGTGAAGAAAACCACCATATTTAAGGTCTCGATATTTGTCAGAATAGATTCGTAAGCGATGAAACTGCATTCTCTTCCTGCCTTGTGTCTTTATTTCACGTCCTGGATGTTCGACGGAAAGAAACCAAGAGTGGCACAACAAATCAATCACGCACAAGATCTGGTCCTATTACACTTCTTTTTGTGCTTTAAATGATGAATTTTGAAACTTACGTTGTGTGAAATAATAAATACAAATATCATGCAGCATTATCGTTAACATTATTTAGTTTTTTCATAACAACGGTTACGTAAACATCTGCGTTCAGGAAGCCTTAAAATAATACTTAATCCTACTTCGAAAGAAACGCGTCTTCTCGTCTGCAGCGTTAGATGTAACACAGATATTCTACTCTAAATCCCAACGTTTCTGACAACGGTGTGTTATATCTAACGCAAGTGGTATTTTAGACGTTGTCCGTCGTCAATATTTAAATTAAATTACAACATTTCAGAAACTGGATCCTATTCCACCTTCAGGTATAAAAAGGGGGGAGGACAGAAACCCTGACTGTTGGGCCCCGCAAGTTGAGCTGGCGTCAGACCTCGACTAGGTCCCGTTCTATGTTGGCAAACCTGCATGCAATGCCAAGGTTAAGAGTAAGTGAAGTCTCGCCTCCACCAACCAGTACCTTCATGTCCCAGGAGTCTGCAATTGTCGGCTGACGCACTGAGACAGAAACTGGCCGAGTTTCATTAGGCCACGCATGAACAGCATGGTACTGTAGGTCATTTAACCCCCAACTTTGACCGTCCGCCTTTCCAACATGGAAAACATGCAAACTCATTAACTGATACTAAGACGACAGTCCCTTGATGTATTGCAGGGGATGGAAGTGACAATGCACACAGAATTTTGGTGTGGAAACATGGTAAGAGGAAACACTCTACACTTTAACGACACAGAGACCTGATTCACTGTCTAGTAACTTTATTGAAACCCTATACAGACAGGGTTACCAAGGACAAAATGAGAATAGAATAACGAGGAGAGATCGAGGAAATCAATTCTTTAACAAATATAATAACACTCACTCAATACAAATATTGGAACGGTGGAGAATGAAAATGCAGGAAAAATTTGTGCGTGAAAGGGCACATCGATCGTACTGTGCGCTATTCCGAACCCCGGCGCGAAGCGTAAAACTCCGGATCATATTCGAGAGTTACGCCAAACAGAGGCAAATCGGTAAACAGGCGATAAAGAAAGCTACGCAGGGAGCACAGGTCTCTCAAAACCAAAAATATGCTACGACGATTACACACACTGACAAAGAATTATGAGAACTAAAATAATATAATATTTATAATTCCACAATTGCCGCCGAGTACAACAGGCCTAAACTTTGAGGGTGTTTTTCTCTTGAGGTCTATTAACTGACTGCGTGACTGATACTGCTCTCCAGCCGGAACAAACGGCGGAAAACGAATTTAAAGAATGTCTGACAGGAAGGGGAAGGGCAGACAAGATTAAGCAAGTGTGGGTTCCGGGGACAGCGGCATGAAAACTGAGTCGACAGATGAACTGTTGGTCGCACTGATCACTAGTCAAAGAAAATATCTCCCAGCCAAAAAAGTGTGAGAATGCGTTAGACTCAGCCGGTCACAAGCTACGCAAGAACATTCCGACCATTTCTTAAAACGCCTCTGTGCTAATGACACGAAGCAGAAAGCACTAATAATCAAATAATTTTACTTGGAGTACTATTTCTTAACACGTATGCCAACTGCGTGCAATATAAAACCATTCTCTCAGAATCGGCTGTTATCTGACCACAGGAAACATCGTGAGATCAACCTCGTTGCCTCGGTCAGCTTCCTAAGAGGGAGAGGTGCGACGAAATATGACGATCAAAGAATCAAAGTGTAGTATGTCGAAAACAGTTCGTCACCCTCTTCGATGTGAGCGGTGGACACTAATGCCACCAGTCGCAGGTGGTCGTGTTGGCAACTGCTGCTGTACCACACATTCGGCAGAAAGCATCTGTGCTCTGGCAGAACGCGTGACAGCGGCACATTGAGCTCTTGGTAAGCCACGTTGGCAGGGAAACCTGTGGGGGGGGATGGAACTCGTCAAATACAAATAAGATTCTTTCTTGGGTGTCAGCAAAAGTAAGTTTCTGAGCAGAAGAGTAATCAAGGGAACGAAAAAGGACAAACGAAGTCACACTTTACACAGAGAGGAGCGAGGTTAGGAACGTGAGGACCAAGAGTGGAATTTATTTGAGCTAACCGCTTCGGTTACGTAATTTAAGGATTCTATTGCAACTAAACAGACTTTATAGCATTGAATCAGGTAGGAAGACGATTATGAATAGTGACAGGGAAAGATTTGAAGGGTATTACCCTGGAATTGAATGGGAGACTTAGGAGTAGCATAGAAATCACTTCAGCCCTGAAGATGGCAATAGCACGTTTCTCGAAAACAACTGTACCTACCGACAAGTCCACATAACTCTACTACCCAGAAGACTGAAACTGACATCTTCACTGCAGTGCAAACCTTTATTAGTCACCTGGCCAAAATTCAAGACACAGAACACTTGAATAAAAGTCTGAAAATTTAAAGACGCACCAGTCTGCCTACTGCGGCATCTTGGGACCATAAGGGAAGCGACAGATGACATGCAGTATCTAAAGCATCCAACGAAGCGCACGGCCAAAAACAAACAACATAAGAAGTCGTGCCATTTTGCCCAAATATAATGAACGCCGTTCTAGCCTACGTCCCTGTAACAACTCGTAATGTCAAATTTTGCAATTGCTTCCTTCAACCAACTGATTGTTCTCTTACGAGTCAGACTGCAGATAATTTACATCAATAATAACATTGTAACAGCCAAGGTGGTCTAGCGGTTAGAACACCAGGCTTGTAATACTGGGATCCCGGGTTCAATTCCCGGCGGTGCTCAGATTTACAACTTGTGTTGGGCAAGGCCGTGGTCGAGGCATCACAAGAGTTTTCCTCCGGGGTTTCCCCGGTTTCTCAATGGCAGCTCAACAATCACTCCACTTTCATCATCATCTCGCAAAAAAGGGGGTCACAGCAGGAGCGTTAAATGTCGCGGCCCCGATCGAACCCATGTACTGATGGGTCGTGAATCCTGCTAACCACCAATGCGCACCATGCCGAATGGTGTGTACTGGACACGAAAAAAAAAAACATTGTCAACTGCACAACACTTATTACTACAAACAACTTGCTACTGAATTCACTGTGTCTTACCTGGGCTATGATTATTGACGTATTGACCGATACTGAGGGGCATCGCAGAGTGTTCCGTCAGCCACGTAAGGTCCCCTGCCTGATGCGGCCACACAGAATCACGCCTCACGCACGATCTGCATCAACAATCATTAATATAGGATCAGAACCTCAAACCATTTTACCATTAACTATGGGATACTTCTGCCATTGGAAAACGTCTCGTGTATAAATGGCGGAACTACGATGCCATGCTCATGGAATGCAGTAATAAATAAAAAAAATGAGTCTTAAAGTAGTTTTTGGTTGAATTGTTCTTGGGTCTGACAGCAACAGGAGGATTTCTTGAGGAAAAGGATAATGACCAATGGAACGCAAATCAGAAAACCCTGACACACAAAAGAAGATGTACAAGGATGATCATGCTTACTTGTATATCATCTTTGATATTCGCCGATCACTGCCATCGACGTGAATGCCATCCACGCACCGCAGTACAAAGGCATTACCGATAGACGGCAGCAAAATGGGCTCGTGAGGGTGATACAGTGTTCCTGTAAAACATTAATAGATTAATATTACGTCCCCCGAGATGGCAGAGTTCAAAGGCCAGAACAAGCTTGCAGTACACCGTGAACCCACTCAAGGGGATGACATTAAATTATTTGAAAAATTTAAAATTATTGGTTACTGGGGTTGGTTACGCACACAGAAATTAATAAAATCTTACTTAATATCGGCGCAATATTAATCATCAAACAAGCATCTTTTATAAATGTAATAAGTGACATAAACTGTAACGGAGCACTTTAACATCTTAACTGACACGTGGAAGTCAGTAGAGTGCACGAAGAAAACAAAGAATTATTCTTACGCAGTGTTATGTCCAGGCTTAGAAATAACATACATGACATTATACATCTTATCGCCATGGCAACAGACTGTAACACTCGCAATACCAAATATATTTTGCAATGCATTAATTGGCAATGAGTGGGTAAGGATCATTCTAGAAGCTACGCAACAAAGAAGAATGAAGGAATATGGAGACTTAAGAGTCAATTTGCGTCAGACTACAAAGTGCAACATCCTAACCTGAAATATCAGAAACGAGGCAATGTGCTTGGCACAGAATAGATTAAATGCCATTGCCATACCAGGATATAACGCCACAAGCGATCCCCTCTCAACGCTCCCCCTGGCAACCGTCACCCCTACTCCGGCACCGGGAACCTTGCTAGTTGCTCGTCTCACGCAGAATCCAAGAACAGATTCAGCAACCTGATGGGAAACAGGACACAGTCAAAAAATTACAAACTAAATCACGGACACAAGCATGCGTTCTGCACTGGCTAAGAAATACCGCGTCTTGTTCGGCACCTATCGAGAAATCATCACATGTTGGAGACCAGAATCTGTCTCCATCCTCAGGTAAAAACCTACTCTGTTGGACCGAATCGATAGAACTAGTCCCTAACAAAAATTCAATAAATGGTACCGAATGTGAGCGTTCACCTTCATGTTCCTTGCAGCGACAGTGGCTGGTGAGAGACTTGTGTTCGCTGTTGACAGCAGATTTGGTAAGAGATGTAACAAGACGGACAGCAGCACATCGTCACATACAATCTTGTCTTCTTGACCTGCCTCAACAATCCTCTTTGATCTGGAAACCATAGATTTCTACTTAAGCATCAAGAATACACAAATCACTTAACCTAACTCAAGAGACAACTCTGAATTTTGAAAATGATATAAAAATAAGATACAAAATAATAACCAAAAACAGTAAAGTGTAATATCACTGCTAAAATATATTGACTAATTCCCTGATGTCATATTCTTAGCAACTTGCAAAGTTAAATGAGTCACACTCTGAATTGGTAGCTTTTTAGGCCTTTTGCTGTGCCTGCAAAAGGTATCAGAATGCTGCAAGTGTGCATAAAATGCACCACAAGGAGCAGATATGTAAAATCATGAAAGTTATGAAAGTAAAGTGGCATGATCAATATGAATTAGGCTAGGTTAATGGGAGAAGTCCCAAAACAACTTTTAACATAAATTTTATATACCTGTTTTTGAGGTTCAGGGCAATCCAGGGCACAAAGCGATGCCTATAACCCTTCCATTTCTTCAGCATATTTATCAGCATTTGTCTGTCATGTGATGTGGGCTACCCTGCAATGTCACCAATAGCAAATTCCTATTAAACAGATATTCTCTAGAATTCAATCAGATCTTTTTTCGCACTACGAATTGTACGTGACTTACAGTTATTGGCACACATTAAACGCTGACTTTCAAAATTCTGTTCATCACAAATGGTCGGATATCTGTGGCATGGGAGAGGTTGGATAAGATTTAGTTATTCCTTTCTTAAGAAACTCTCGCGATTTTGCCATAATATGCAGCTTTCGTATACCAATAGACCTAGTTTAACTAATGGTCAGTAACGTGCTAGTAACACCTGAGATTGATCCACAAAGCCCATCTATTCACAGGATTATGTCAAATGAACATATACACCTACTACACAGTGAAAGATTCACTGCTAACAAATCAAGATGAAACTATACAATGAACACAGGATTATACTAACATTCAGATCACCAAATTACTGAGAAACGTCCGTGACAGAAGGCATATATTGTGCAGTCATCAATCATCGGAGACAACTATAATAACCGCAATCTGGTGGTAGTATATTAAAGCACGGTCGTAGTCACTACCAAGAACTCAGTCGGTAATAACGATAACTACCATCCAACTTTTGCAGTTCCTAACACAGGAACATTTAATTTTACACCCAAAGACGACATTTTTTCTGTAATGTTGTGCCTTCGTAGTCTCTCATAAATTTACCCTACTGATGGAGGCAACAAGCACCTCTGAAACGTCGGCTAACTTCTGTTAGACAACACGGTGCAACATTACAGAAGAGTCTTCTCCCTACTCGTGCCACGAGGTACTGAAATCGCAATTCTAAAAACCTAGTCCCGGGTCTACAAAAGAACTTACTCC